ACCCATTGGGTCCAACAACATTAGGAAAACATATCGCTTCAAACCCTAAAACCCAAGGCCTAGTAGCCCCTAGCCCTAAAGACCAAGGCCCTAAATCCTAAGCGTAAGGCCAGTAGGCCCTACACCAGAAAGCCAAGGCCCAAAACCCCTAAAGCCCAAGGCCAGTTGGTCTACGGCGTGCCTATGCCCACGAAAGTTTGTACCGATGCCCACGTAAGCTTCTGCCTCTGCCCACGCAAACTGTGCCTACGCCCACAAAGTGCGTGCCGGACGCGCCACTAAGCACAATTAGTTCGTAGGCATAGGCACAAACTTGCGTGAGCCTAGGCACAGATTTGGTGGTCATGCGCGCAAACTTTCGTAGGCATAGGCACGCTGGACCTTTGCCCACGAAAGTTTGTGCCTGAGCCCACGAAAGTTTGTGCCCGTGCCTATGCCCACGACAGTTTGTGCCTATGCCCCGCGCATTCGTTTTTCATCTACATATATACATATATATGAGTAAAACTGGTTTAGGGTTTAGTGTTAGGGTTTGGTCTAGGGTCTGTTGAGGCTCACAGGGTTACAAGCCCTCTTGTCTTTGGGGTAGCCGGTATAAGGCCAGTTGTAAGAAGGATTGAAAAGTAGGAAATGTAAAAGGGTATACACACACATATATAGTTTTTTTTTCTTGTCATTTGTTTCGGGGAAAGGGTAGTGCCATGAACCCTCAACCCACCCGAAACCCTAACCCTATCCAAACTTCTCAGGTGTCGTGGGCGTCTCAAGTGTCTTAGGCGTCTGCAATGTCCCCTGGGCCTCCGTTCGGGCGGTCTTGGTGTCTGCATGTCTGCATGACTCTAAACCCTAAACCGCGCGACCCCCCGAGCACACCCTAATCCCCAAGCCCTAAAGCCTTTAGTGTTCAGGGTTTAGGGCTTCGGGTTTGTCTTATTTCTAGGATTTTGGGGATTGCAGTCATGGCTTGGGAACTCAGAGATACAGTCCCATGGCAGGCAGCTGTGCAGAGGTGGAGAGCGCTCAAGAGGCCTTTGTGCTTTGCAAGGTCTTCTACAGGCTCGGTGCTTCAAGGCAACAGGGCTCAAAGTCGAGGGTTCAGGGTTTAGGGCTTTGGGGTTTTATTGTTGAGGGCTTTGGGGTTTTGAGGGCTTGAGCTTGGGGGTTTAGGATTTAGGGCCTCGCGTGCATTATCTGGGGGTTTCTGCTTAGCTCTCTAGATTATGGTCCCTATTGGGGCTCCTTCCAACACATAAGCCCTTAACCCTAACTAAACCCTAAACCCCCTTGTGGGGTGAATCAACAAGGATCATAACCTAGAGAACTGCTGCCCTTCTACATAGGGCTTCCCAGTAGTATGTTTGCCTGCTGCATTCATGGTGCCCCCGTGTGCTTCCCTACGTATGAGATACTGGTTCAGAAGGGTTTAAAGTTTAGGGTTTACAGGGTTTTGGGTGCTTTGAACCCTTCATATTTCGGAGCAACCTGGGCAAAACAGGCTACGGATTTAGGGTTTATTTAGGGTTTAGGGGTTTCTGAAAGAGCACTGTAATCCTGAGAGCTCCCACTTGGCGCAAACTGGGGGGGATGTCACTCGCTTCTGTGACATAGCCTTATGCCTAAACAAGCCCGAAAGCAGCCAATCATCCCCTCTCTTCGAGACCCTAAACCCTAAACCCCAAACCCCTAATACCCTAAACCCTACACCCTAAACCCCAAACCCTAAACCCAAACCCTAATACTCTAAACCCAAATACCCTAAGGGTCCCTCATAGAAGTCCTTCCTGTAGCCCCCTCTGCAACCCAAAGCACTTCCAAAAGTACCGCGAGCAGCTTCTTGAGGTTTAGGGATTAGGGTTTAGGCTTGGTGTTTAGGGTTCAGGGTTCAGGTTTCAGGGTTTAGGGTTTAGGGCAACCTTGCGACGGGAGGGATAGGAGGGCTTCAGGGGTCAGCATAAAGGGTTCGTGTAGGCTTTAGGCTTTGGGCTTTAGGCTTTAGGGGTTAGGGTCCAGGGCTTAGGGTTTGGGTTTTGTTGATTTAGTTTTGGTTGTAAAAGGATTCTCTGACAGGGCATTGAGGGTATTCAGGGTTCGGATTTGGGGTTGAGTTATTGGGATATTGAGGATTCTGGGGTTTTAGAGTTCCGGGCAACCCAGCCCGTGTCCACGGTGCCCTTGTTCTTGCAGGAGTTTCTGAGCCTAAGGCTTAGGGGTTTGAGGGTTTAGGGTTTAGGGCTTAGGGTTGAGGATTTAGGGTGGAAGCGTTTGCTCCCAGAGCCCCATGCCCTGGGAAGCCTCTGACATTCCCCCCGGCAACTTGCAAAGCTCAGATGCTTCGCGCTCTGTCTTTGCTCCGGCCCCTGTAATTTTTGGCTTAGGTGAGAAGAAAGGGCGTGCGCCCGTTTGAATACAAGTGGTGCAAGGGTACTTAGCCCTAAACCCTAAACCCTAAACCCTAAACCAGTGAGGTCACGTTCATGTTGAGGCATTCGCTGTTTGGCATCGGCCCAGGCCCCATCCCGTGCCCTGAGCGGACCACAGGGAGGAGGCTTGGGCTGATACTGGGCTTCACTGTTAAAATTGTGAGCTCTCAGCGTCGCAAACGGCCTGGCGGGAGGTGTTCCCCAAGAGCTCGCACGTTCATATCAAGCCGCACGCCCTGAACCCTCTAAAACCGTAACATCGGGTTTAGGGCTTGGGACTTAGGGCTTAGGGTTTTCGGGCCAACAGCTTGAAGACAATAGTTTTGGGGGTGGGGGTTCGGGGTTTCGGGCTTGGGGCATGGGGCTTTTTATGATTTAGGGTTTAGAGTGTAGGGTTTAGGTTTCAGGGTCATGTTAGCGTGGACAGTAGACCCCCGCAAGCCTACGAGGGTGGGTTGAGGGTGTGCTTGACGACTTAGGGTTTAGGTTTAGAGTTTTGGGTTTAGGCCTTTCCCAAGCACCTTCACAGGCCCTCCCTTTGATCGGCTGCTATAAGCAGGGCTCTATAAAGATCAAAAAGCAAAATCCGCATTGAGAGGGGGGAAAAACAGACATGAAGAGAGAACCAACAACAAACCCTAAACCCTAAACCCTAAACCCTAAACCCTAAACCCTGAACCCTAAACCCTAAACCCTAAACCCTAAACCCTAGACCCTACTCAAGTCAGATAGAGACATCGGGAGAAATATACCAGACCAGCACCACCCTGGAAATAAACAGGGTAATTACCCTTTTTGGTTTTAAGGGGATTGTAAGGGAAACCAAACCCTAAAAAAAGGAAATAGGGGCCTACGAGGTCCTCATAGAAAACAGGGAGAGAGCCTGATGGAGCGTGACAGTGAAGGAGGGAGGGAGCCCAGCTGAGATCCGGGACCCATCCTTCAGGCCAGTACCCTAAACCCTAAACCCTGAACCCTGCACCCTGAACCCTGAGAACCCTGAATCCTAAACCCCAAACCCTAAACCCTAAACTTTAAACCCTAAACCCTAAACCCTAAACCCAAACCCTAAACCCTAAACCCTAACCCTAAACCCTAAACCCTAACCCTGAGGTTTAACGCTTATAGGGTTCAAGAACTAGAAAAGATGCCCCATGTCTTCCTTTCGTAGGTTTTTAAGGCAACCTACCTACTGGGTAAGTGCACCAGCCGAGAAGAAAGACTTACCAATTCAATCCCCTTCTCGCCCTTTCCACAATAGGCCCCTAGAACCTACACCCTACATTACTTCCTTACGGCTTTAGGCTCGGAACTACTGTGAGAGCAATCGACTCCCGAAGTCCTCCCTCAAAACAGCAATTCCCGCACCTCCTCACGCCTTGGCCCTGCATGCGACGCGGGATTGCAGGAAAGGGTTTAGGGTCTAGGGATTAGGGTTCAGGTTTGCGGCTTAAATTTTTCTGGTCTGAATGGACAGGGGTGAAGCCCCTAAAGCCCTCAACCCTCAAGCCCTTAACTCCTAAAGGCCTGGAACCCTCAACCTTCTAGAAACCCACCCAAGCAAACCCCTCCAGCCCTTAAGCCCTAAAGCCCTCAAACCTCCGGGAATCCACAAAACCCAATGCCCAAAACCCACAACCCAAAACCCTAAACCCTAAGCCCAAGACCCTAAACCCTAAACCCTAAACCCTAACACCCTAAACCCTAAACCCTAAACCCTAAAACCTAAACCCTAAACCCTAAACCCTAAACCCCAAACCACAAACCCTAAACCCGACCGAGGAGGGGCCCCCTGCCTGGCGTTGGGGCTCTTTCCGATCCATCGCACGCGGCCGCTGTCGAGGTCATAGATGCCTGGGCTTAGGGTTTCGGGTTTGGGGGTTGGGGGTTTAGGGTTTAGGGTTTAGGGTTTAGGGTCTAGGGTCTAGGGTTTAGGGTCTAGGGTTTAGGGTTTAGGGTTTCGGATTTGGGGGGTTTAGGATTTAGGGTTCAGGGCTTAGGGTTTAGTGACCGGGGGGTTAAGGGTTTTGGGTCTATTGTTTGAGGTTTAGGGTTTCGGGTTTGAGGGGTTGAGGGCATAAGGGTCAGGGTTTGGGGCTTAGGGTTTGGGGGGTTTAGGCTTTTGGGCTTAGGGTTTAGGGTTTGGGGTTTAGGGCTTGGGGGGTTTAATCATAGATGCCTGGGCTTAGCGTTTAGTGTTTGGGGGGTTTATGGTTTCGGGTCAAGGGTTTGAGGATCAGAGTTTAGGGTTTAGGGTTTTGGGTTTTGGGTTTTGGGTTTTTGGGTTTTTGGGTTTAGGGTTGGGGGCTTTGGGGGAGTTGTTTGCTGATGGGGTTGGGGTCGATAAGGCATAAGATAAGGAGCTTGGGATTCCGGTGCCTTATACCCCATGTAACCCCGCAAGGGAGATCTGTAGGGTTTCAAGCGCAGGGGATCTTCGGGCTCAAACACCCCCCAGTCCTTTGAGGGAACCCCAAAGCCTTATAGGGTTTAGGCTTTAGGGTTTAGGGTTTTGGGTTTAGGGTTTTGGGTTTTGGGTTCGAACCTTGCTCTTCCAAGGATTTTTAGGCACGAAAAAAGCTAAAAGCTTGCCGAGGGAGGCGGGACAAGCAAGCGGTCAACTGTAGCACACGGGCTGTACGCAGTGGTTGCAGCCATCCGCGCTACCATGAACCCACGTGATGGATCGGTGTTCTGGAACACCATGTTCGAAAAGTCTTGCCAATATGTCTTCAAGCTTGGCACCATCTCATCCAGCACGGAGTCTGTTGCAGAAACCGAAGAACCTTTCGCGCATGAATGAATGCCTCATTGTCAAGGTAGCTTTTTGAAACTGCCTCGCGAACCAGAGCCGTTTTGCTTCAGCAGAATGATCTGATGCACACCCTAAGCCTTAAACCCTAAACCCTAAACCCTAAACCCTAAGCCGGCAAGTCTATCCGCAAGGCAAGGCCCTCTGTCACCGGACCCCAAGCTTCGCGGTCAACTCCCCGCTGCCCAGAGCCCTTAGGGTTTAGGGTTTAGGGTTTAGGGTTTAGGGTTTAGGGTTTAGGGTTTAGGGTTTAGGGTTTAGGGTTTAGGGTTTATTGTTTAGGGCCCCTTAACCTACACCTCCCCACACCCTACATAAGCAGCCCTAAGCCTAAACCCCAAACTGCCCCTAAAACCCTAAAACCCGAAAACCCTCAAACCCTAAAACCCCAAAACCCTAAACCCTAAACCCTAAACCCTAAAACCCTAAGCCCTAAACCCCGAACCGCCAGGTGTTGGATTTTCAGCGCAGACTTTGGTATTGCGGCTGCGGCAGCACCATGCTGCACTGCTTTTCCCTTTGGCAACTACATCCTAAACCCTCTTAGGGTTGAGTTCTGGGTTTTGGGGTTAGGGTTTCGGGTTTCGAGTTTAGAGGCATCCCCAAACCCTAAACCCTAAACCCTAAGCCCTAAACCCTCCTCCTGCAAAGCCCGAGCTCCGCGCCTCCCTCGACCTCCACCTCGCCAGATTCCACCTGCACATGAACTGGTTTAGGGTTTAGGGTTTAGGGTTTAGGGTTTAGGGTTTAGGGTTTAGGGTTTAGGGTTTAGGGTTTAGGGTGTAGGGTCTAGGGTTTGAGCCTTTGGGGTTGAGGGATTCAGTTTTGGGGATTTACAGGGACATGTAGGGCGTACAGGGCCTATATATATATATATATATATATATATATTGACTTATATTTGTATCTATATGTATATTAATACATATATATATATGTATATATGTATATGTATATGTATATGTATATGTATATGTATATACATTCGGGCTTATGGGGCTTAGATGGGGCTTTCAAGCCCGGCTTTTGTTGGGTCTTCATAGGGCGTTTACAAAAGGGCTGTGTTTGAAACAGTTCTTGGTCTTCATGGGGCGTTCACGTGCTTCCTTTTCCGGGTTTATGTTCGAGTGTATGGGATTTTCCCTATGTTTTGGGCTTCGGAACGGCAGGAATTCCAGGGGTGCTCAGGCGCTTTTTGGAGGCTCCAGGGCTTCAGGGCTCCCAGTCGCAGCGGGGTTTCGGGCTGAGAGGGTTTAGGGTTTAGGGCTAGGGTTTAGGGGTTTGAGGTTTAGGGTTTAGGGTTTAGGGTTTAGGGTTAAGGGTTTAGGGTTGGTTTAGGGTTTAGGATGTCAGGGTGCTCTCTAAGTTCGGGTGCCTTTTTTTTTTTTTTTTGGGGGGGGGGGGGGGGGGTTCTGTTTATGAAGGTGCCGTGCTATGTAAAGGACCCAAAAAGAGACCCTAATGTAGAGAACTACCCACGTTAGGGTGTAGGGCTTAAAGGGTTCGGGGCTTAGGATTTAGGCTCAGAGCTTAAAGGGTTTGGGGTTTGGGCCTCGAGTTTAGGAAAATAGGGCGTTTAGCGCTCAAAGGGTGTAGGGCGGAGCTTCCCCAGATTAGGTTCCCCTTGTGCGGGAGTGGGGGTGGGAGGGGTCCTTATGATAGTGACTGCACTTAGGGCTGGAGGGTTTTGAGGGCTTTGGGTCGCGGCAAGGGTTTCGAGTCTGGAGTTGCACGTCTAGGGCAATTCCATCCCCAAACCCTGAGCCACTATATAAACCCCGACCTAGTCCCTCGGCGGCCTAGATGCCTAACACTCCTAGAAGTCCTACACCCTTGTATCCCCAAAACCCTAAACCCGAAGCCCTAAGCCCTAGGCCCTAAGCCCTAAACCCCAAACCCTAAATCCTAAACCCTAAGCCCTAAACCCCAGAATTTTAGCGATGGCAGGCGGGAGCCTTGCTTCGGAGGGTCGGGCTGTTCTTGACAAGGAAGTCCATGGAGTTGAAGACGTTGACCTTCACCTCACCGATGGCTTGGCGAAGGTTTAGGATTTAGGGGGAAAGGTTTAGGGTTTAGGGTCTAGGGTTTAGGGCTTAGGGCTTCGGGTTTAGGGTTTAGGGTTTAGGGTTTAGGGTTTAGCGTTTAGGGTTTAGTGTTTAGGGTTTAGGGTTTAGGGCTTAGGGTTTAGGGTTTAGGGCAGTTCTGGGTTTAGGGCAGTTTTGGGTTTAGGGTTTAGGGTTTAGGGTTTAGGGTTTAGGGTTTAGGGTTTAGGGCTTTCGGGCTTTCGGGCTTTCGGGCTTGCTAATCTTTATGGTGTATGAGGGTTTGGGGTTTATTGGGGGTACGTAGGGCTTATCAGGGTTTAGGGCTTCTCAATGGGCTTGGTCAAAGTTTGGGCTTAGTCTTTAGGCTTCGTACTTTTTTTTAGGGTTTAGGGCTTTGGGCTCACCAGGGTTTAGGGTTTACGGGTTAGGGTTGAAGGTTTAGGGTTTAAAGCCCTAATGCCTGTTAACTAAATAGCATTCCTACATATACACATATACATATATATATATACATACATATCTCTCTGCGTGGTTTAGAGCTTAGGCTGTAGGGTTTAGGGTGCCTCAACCCGAAACCCCCGAGTCCAACTGCCCCTACTCAAAACGAATCGCTGGGATCGCAAGGAGTCGGAGGTGTAGGAGGCCCCGAACCCCTGAAACTCTAAACCCTAAACCCAAAACCCTAAACCCTAAACCCTAAACCCATAGGCTTAGGAACATGGGTGTGAAAAATTTGGGTTGTTGAGATTCGGACCTGCGAGGGAAGTTCTTGAGCTTAAGATCTTTCAGGGCGATTCTGATAGGGCCCCTGGACCTAAAGTGCTTGTAGGGCCAAGTGTAGCAGGGGTACCCCAAAATAACTAAACACACCATACACTCACCAAGAACCCGTGAGGAACCCGAAACAAGACAAAGCAGTCACCAAAAAAACCTAACCCCTGAAACCCTGGACCCTAAACCCGAAACCCTAAACCCTGAACCCTAAACCCTAAACCTAAACCCAACAACCTTGCGAGCTCAGTGGCGGCATGCGCTGCGATCTGCTCCTCTGTAGGGGAGCCACCAATCTCCTCCTCTGCCTTCCAGACTGCTGAGAGGTTTAGGGTTTAGGGTTTAGTGTTTAGGGTATCAACCCTAAACCCACTGCCCCAAAACTTCGGAGCCTAGCGTCCGGCAGAATTGAAGTCTGTGCGATTTGAGGGCTGATCCAACTTATGGGCCCCTTCTTGGTGCCGAAGACCCATACAAGTCGCGCCATTCAGATCAACCCCATTCGATTCATGGCCGGGGACATCCCTATGACCGGGAAGGCCGGCGGTCCCGCTGTACGCCCCCAGACCTGAACCTGCATCCTATACCCTAACCCAACCTAAAACCTAAACCCTAAACTCAATTAAGGCCTATAGGCCACCTCGACGGCACAAACTGACCCAGGTCGTTCGCCCGCCTCTCACAGCTTGGAGGTCGGTAGCACCCGCGATGGGCCCGGTACGGGAGCACGTACTGGTCCCCAAGTTAAGTCACTACCGTAAACCCAAGCATTCAATTGCAAAAAGGGGTACCCGGTCCCGGGACCCCCTTGGGACCCCGCTCTGGCACCTAATAGAACTGCAAAACGCCGGAGCCTGACCTGGACTGAAACCTTCCCCCTTGCCTGAAAGGACTATCAGTGACGGAAGACGTTGTATTGGAAGTACTCTATTGTCCTGAGTTTAGGCCTAAACCCTAAAAGGAATAGGTTGTTAGGGTGGCTTTGCCGCCTTGGACGGCGTGGGGTGGGAGAATGGTGTTGATGGCCTTCCACAATCGGGCCAGAGCTGCTCTTCGCACCTGACGAGGCTTTCGAGCCTCTGCTGCATCCTAACCCTTACAGCATCTACCCCCTTTTACAGCAAACCCTAAACCCCAAACCCCACACCCGAAACGCTAAACCATGCCACCCTAAACCCTACACCCTGGAGCCCTACATCGGAGTCCGGGGCTTGGGTTTAGGGTTTAGGGTTTCGGGCTTAAGCGTTTGTAGCCCAGGGTTGGGTTTGGGGGTCAGGGTGTAGGACTGTCATTACGAACAAATGAACAAAATGAATGCACGAAATAAATGTGCAGATATGTATATATATATATATATGTGTGTGTATATGTATATGTATGTGAATATACATATATATATATATACATACATATACACAAATGATTCTATTCGTAGCCATATAGCTCGGGGCTTCCAAGCATTTTGGATTTCGGGTTTCCGGTGTCACTTAACCCGAAGATCCGCCACACCCCCACGAACCTCTCCACTCCTTAGCAAATGCTTCGGGCATGGGAGGGCTTATAGGGTTCCAAGGGTTTGGGGTTCCAAGGGTGCCGGGTTCCACAGGTGTTCAGCTTCAGGGCTTCAGGATCTTAGGATGGAAGGATCTAGGGCCTAGGGCTAACAACCCCCAGACCTCAACCCTCAACCCTAAACCCCCCTAAACCCTAAACCCGAAACCCTAAACCCTAAACCCTACCCACAGCACCTTCTTGGCCACGTCATTGAGCCCCTGCAGCAGTGCGCCCAGGGCGTTCGGCGCCTGGGGGGTGGGGGTCGGAGCCTCCTCAGGCGCCTCATATCGGCTCCAGGGTTTAGGGTGTTTAGGGTTTAGGGTTTAGGGTTTAGGGTTTAGGGTTTAGGGTTTAGGGTTTAGGTCTTGAGGCTTCAGGGATTTGGGGCTTCGGGGAGTTTGGGGTGCTGTAGGGTTGCGGGTTTACGCTTTTGGGCTATGTAAGGGTGTAGGGTTTAGGGCGCGTAAGTCCTAAACGCCACACAGAGTCGATACCCTTGCACGAAGGGATCATGCCAAAATCAACAGACCCTTAGCCCTAAAGCCCTGCATCCAAAAACGACTTCGGGCTTTAGGTTTTAGGGAGGAATTTAGGGTTTTAGGTTTTTAAGGGCGCAGGGCTTAGGATCTTTTAAGGTTTCAGGATTAGGGTTGCGGGCTTCAGGATTAGGGTGCAGGGTTTGGGGCTTTGTGGGGCGGGGGGAACCCTGTGCGGGGGGAACCATGTATGGGATTGCTGTAGAGATTTCCCATAGCATCTACATTCCCCACTCCCACTTTGAGCACAAAGAAGTTCACCCTAAAACCTAAACTCTAAACCCTGAACCCTAAACCCTAAACCATAAACCCTAACTAATTAAGCCCTAAGCTCACCCAGCGCAGGACTGCGCCAGGTTTGGCGCTTCGAGGAATCAGGGTCTTAGGGGTGTGGTTCGGGGCTTAGGGCTGTACCTAAACCCTGAACCCTGAACCCTAAACCCTGAACGCTAGGAAGGGCTTTGGGGGCTTCACTAGGCTTACTGGAGAATGTGCAGGGGCTAGGTTGGGAGTAGAGCGAAATCTCGGAATCCCGGAATCCCCCCGCCACCCTAAACTGCTTGGGTTTAGGGTATAGGTTTGGGGTTTGAGTTTGTTTATAGGGTTTGGGGTTAAGGGTTTAGGGTTTAGGGTTTAGGGTTTAGGGCAACCCTGAATCTCCAGCCCGTGGAACGCACATCCGCCACTCACTCTCGCATTCAGAGGGGCCTCCCCGCGGGACTTGCCCTTGTTCGCGAGGTAGTCCTGCCCCAGGTCTCAGGGTTTTATATGGGGTTATATGGGTTGAATTAGGGTTTAGGGTTTAGGGTTTAGGGTTTAGGGTTTTTGGGTTTAGGGGTTAGGGTTTAGGGTTTAGGGTTTAGGGTTTAGGGTTTAGGGTTTAGGGTTTAGGGTTTTGAACAAGGGTTTAGGGCCACCCCTCAACCCTAAACCCTACGATAAGCCGAACGCCCTGCAGTTTTTAGGAGCATCAAGCCATGGGCACATGGAGTCATAGAAGTAAAACCTCAGCACTTCCCACTGCTACATGTGGGTCCTTCTTTCTGGGATAACCCCATGAGATTCCAAGTTTCGGGGGCTCCCTGGGCATTCGTTCTGTTGATAAGGACAAGACGATAAAGAATAACCAAAGACGATGAAAGTTCAGAATCATGGAAACCATGATCATGGTCACAACGATAAAGGAGCCACAGCAACCAGTAACGCCAATGGTAACGGCGCGGTTAAGAAACCGTTGTAATCATGATAGCAACGGTCCCGATATAGTCTGCGGTACAATGGGTACAGTCTTGCATACTTAGTTGCTGAGTTCATAAGCCCCCAAAAAGTGTACACTTTCAGTTCTAGAGGGGATTCTAGTATCCCAAAAAGTGCAAAGTATGCTCACTCAGCTACTAAGTGAACCTTAGAGGGAGCCTCAGGGAGCAGTGTTGGGAGCATTAGGGAACCTTGGGTTACATACCCCCCCAGGAACCCCGACCCTGCAAGTAAAGTCCTGAATGAAAGGACTGTTGGGCCTCTTGGTGGCTTGGGGTTTAGGGTCTAGGTTTTACGGTTTGGGGTTTAGGGCCAGCGGCCTCATTCAGGCTTTTGCAGGGCTTCGAGGATAGGCTCGTCAAAGCCCAAACCCCACCTTCCCACACATCCCTAAACCCTAAAGAAACCCCCAAGGCCCTAAAGGCTTAAACCCCAAACCTTACAGACCGTCACCTTTTTCTAATATTCCGGCGGAAGGCAAAGCCGCAGTCCTGACATTCCTGAAACCAGGACCATCCTAAGAATGGCAGTCGTGAGAATCGCAAAGGTATATGCGCTTTGACGGTTTAGGGTTTAGGGTTTAGAGTTTAAGGTTTATATAGGGTTCAAGGCTTTGGGTTTAGGGTTTAGGGTTTAGGGCTTTGTTTTAGCCATAAGAACCAGTGTAGCCATGATGCCCTTCACGAAAACCAATACAAAAACGGGAATGGGAGCAAATGTGTGTCCTTGGTGGCACCGTTGATGGCTCCGCACTTCGTGTGGCCCAGGACCTCGGTGACGGCAACAGCCAAGGGGCGAGATTTCCTGTCATTGTCCTTGGCCCACAAATCGCAAGCCTAAACCCTAAACCCTAAACCCGAAACCCGAAACCAAGCCTTTCCTGGCTTTCGCTGTATGATGGCGAGATGCTCGTCTTGTCCATCCGTCATCCCCAAGCCTCTTAGCTACAGTATCCCAGTTCGTACAACTCCATTCAAGTGTGCTTGAAGCCCTGAAACCTACATACGGAAGGTTGGCGTCTGCTCAAGCTCAGGGTCTAGAAGCCCCTAACCCTAAACCCTGAACCCTAAGCCCTAAACCCTAAACCCTAAACCCTAAACCCGACAAATAGCCGGGGGGCCAGGATCAACTTGGTGCCAAGGGCACCGGTGCAGAACCTGGGTGGGAGGCCACTCCACAGTCTTAGGGTTTAGGGTTTAGGGTTTAGGGTTTAGGGTTTAGGGTTTGGGGTTTAGGGTTTAGGGTTTAGGGGTTAGGGTTTAGGGTTGAGGGTTTCGGGTTGAGGGCTTCGGCGTTCAAACTACACTCTTTACTGGAATATACGGAAGGCACAGGGGACAGTCTAACAGTTTAGGGTTTTGAGTTTAAGGTCTAGTTGAAACTGCAACTTCTTAGCAAGTCCCATGCACCTTCAAATATGCTTGAAGGGTAGGGTCTATCCCCCACTCCCCCCTGAAGCAACAGCAAGTGACAGCACCCCTTAAAGCAAAAATAGGCTTTAAATAGCGCATATATATATATATATATGTATATCGATATATGTATATGCATATATATATATATATATCTCTCTCTCTCTCTCTCTCCCTCTCTCTCTATCTCTATCTCCATCTCTACCTCTACCTCTATCTCCTTGATGTTTATACAGTAGTAAGGAGGGACTATAGAAATTCACGACCCTTCACTGAAGTTTTAGGGCTTGAAAGTCTCCTAAGCCAATTGAGCTCTGGGGGGCGGGGGGGGGGGGGAGGTTTAAGGTCAGGTGCTGGGGTTTATAGAGATCTTGGGGTGGTGCATCCGTGAAAAACCCTAACCTAAACCCCTAAACCCTAAACCCTAAACCCTAAACCTAAACCTTAACCTAAACCTAGACCCGACATCAAGAATTTAGTGGGGTCCAGGCCTCTAAAGGGCGAACCGTGTGTTGGGCAATAGGGTTTCGGGTGTGGGGCCAGCTCTCTGCAGAACCAACGCGCATGGAATTCCCTTCTAGGCCCAGGAGTAACCTACGAGTAGGAGTAAAAACGGGTTCCCTTCTTGGTCTTAAGGGGCGTACAAGGGAACCCCCTAAAAAGGAAATAAGGCCTTACTCCGGGTCCTAGCCTTGACCCTGAGGCCTGCATCCCGATTCAAGCCCTAAACTCCCTACACCCCCCAAAAACCTGCAGCCTTAACTCCTGCACCACAAAAACGCTTGGGGCCCTCAAACTCCCTAAATCCCCACAACGTCTGACCCAAAACCCTAACCCTAAACCCTAAACCCCCTAAACCCTAAACTAAAAAAACCTAAACCCTGAACCTATACGGCCATCCGGGTGGCTCCAGCGAGCCCATGACGTTGCCACTCGGAGTGCAACGCAGGTGTTGCCGGCGTTTCGGAGCACCGAACAACATCCTCAAAAGTTTAGGGTTTCGGGTTTAGGGGTTTGGGGTTTCGGGGTCCGCCGACCTGGCGGCGTGTTGGATGGGAAAAGGAGGAAAACCAAAACCCTTACCCCCCCTCCACCTACCCCCCCCGACCCCCCCTACCCCCCCTACCCCCCCCCCTCCCGGTTGCTGGGCTACGTGATGGGTTTGGCTTCACCCCCAGTTTTCCCAACCCCCCCCCCCCACCCCCCCAACCCCCAACCCCCCCCCTACCCCCCCCCTAACCCCCCCCCCCCCCCCCCCCCCCCCCCCCCCAACCCCCACCACCCCCCCACCCCCCCCCCCCCCCCCCCCCCCCCCCCCCTGCCCCCCTCCCCCCCCTACCCCTTGAATTGAAAACTGTCCTACGTTTCACAGAGGCTCAAGCAAATCAACTTTTGGCATCCTTTGAGCTGACGAGCGCGTTTAAACCTTTCAACTATGCTCCAGCGCGGTCGGCGGCTTGAGCCGGAGGCTCTTAAATTTAGGGTTTAGGGTTTAGGGTTTAGGGTTTAGGGTTCAGGGTTCAGGGTCTAGGGTTTAGGGTTTAGGGCTTAGGGGAGGTGTGGGTGTTGAGGGGTTTAAGGTGGTCCTTTGTAGGCGTTTTTTTCGGGATCGGACGGCTCAGAGTTTAGGAGGTTCGGGGTTTAGCGGAGACACCGTGTCCGGGGAGACACCGTGTCCAGGGCTCCCTACCCATGGCCCCTCGACAGTGCCGAGCTAAAACGAAACAACCTCCAAATCCTAAACCCTAAACCCTAAACCCTAAACCCCAAACCCTAAACTAGACCTCAGGTTCCGGGATGCGGTTCATGCACAAACCTACAAAACCTACAAACCCCCCAAATCCTAAACCCTAATCCCTCAACCCTCAACCGTAATCCTAAACCCTAAACCCTAAACCCTAAACCCTAAGCCCTAAACCCTAAACCCTATGAAACCGTAGGGGCTGCAAGCTTTAAGGCGCATTCAGGCCCAGGTGCGCCAGGCAGGCCGTCGAAGACCAACTCCAGCCTGTCTCTCAGAGATTGGGCGCTTCAGTTTAGGGGTTTAGGGGTTCAGGGGCTTAGGGGTTTAGGGGTTTAGGGGTTTAGGGGTTCAGGGGTTCAGGGGTTCAGGGGTTCAGGGGTTTAGGGGTTTAGGGGTTTAGGGGTTTAGGGGTTTAGGGGTTTAGGGGTTTAGGGGTTTAGGGGTTTAGGGGTTTAGGGGTTTAGGGGTTTCGGGTTTAGAGTTTAGGGTTTAGGGTTTAGGGTAACTCCAACCTGTCTCTCAGAGATTGTGCTTATAAGTACGGTGTCCGGAACGTTGCTGAGTACCCTGGCCCAAAAAGAAGGCTAACCTTTCAATGATGGTAGGGCTGTCTGTGCCCAAAAAGGCTAAAGGTCATCTACTCAGCTACTGAGGTAAATCCTAAGACCTAAACCCAAACCCAAAAAAAAACGAACATAAACGGCCTTTGATCTAGGAAATCTCGTTAAGGGGCCAAGGGTTTAGGGGCCAGCTGTCAAAGGTTTGAAGCAAAGGCACTTCATTGTCAGGTTCTGGGGCTCTCCTATGGGCGTACTTGGAGGTTCAGAGTACTTATTAACCAAATCATAACTGTACTCATAACCCCCTTATCACCACATAAGGGCACTTAAGGGGTTTGTACGTGGGTTATAAGTGCAGTTAAACTTGGGTGAATAAGTACCATGAACCTCAAAGCATGGGTGCAGGCGCCAGGATGCTCAGGATGCTTAGTTACGGGGAGGAGAGCACCGGGGCTTGAAGGGGTCACCCGCGCTTCTTTCAGCGCACCCTATATGCTAAAACTTAGGGTGTTTAGGGTTGCAGTTTAGGGTTTGAACCCTAGTCTATGGTTGGGATAGCATTAGAAACTTAAACTTCAATTCCTTATTGAGTTGAAACTTGAATTGCTTGTTGAGTTTAAGTACAATGAAATATGCAACATGTTACCCCACTATATTGACAAACGAGCACCCTTTTCAAGTGCTACCCGAGATGCGGCACGCGGGAGTCCGCGCAGCCGAGAATGGCAGTGTGCGGTGCCTCGCGGCCGTTCAAGGTTTAACGGATTTCGGGGGCTCAGGGTTTTAGGGTGCCTGTTTCGGCCACAGCTCATAGGTATGTAGAGAGGTTGGTATGCTAAAGTTTGCAGGGCAAGGGCCTATACTTCATAACCCTTGAAAGAAGCTAAGGAACCATCTTGAGGGACGTACCGTCCCTTAGATTCTACAACTAGACCCAAGAGAAACTTGAGAAATAGAAAGGGTGCCCTTCTTACTTTCAAGGGGGGAACCTAAGCCCTAAAATAAGGGAATAAGGGCCTACTCCGGGTCCTAGAAAACCACCCCGTTCCTATGTCTTGGTAGCCCAGCAACCGTATTATAACAAGGGTACCCCTTTGGGGGCTGGTTAGATTTACAAGAAAACCGGAAACCCCAAAAAGGGCAAAAGGGTACCAATGTCGCAGGTTCTCCTAGATTCCCTAAGGGTCCATGTACCGCAGCATCATATACTTGAGCCCCAAGTCCCTATATAGGAGGTAGTTTAAGGCCCAAGTATTCCGCATTTAGGTGCATGGACTTTGAGGTTTAGGGCTTAGGGTTTAGGGTTCAGGGTTTAGGGTTTAGGGTTTAGGGTTTAGGGTTTAGGGTTTAGGGTATAGGGTTTAAGGCCCAAGTATTTCCGGATTTAGGTACATAGGCCCTGAAAAACTGCGGAGCCTGGCCCACGGTCGCCAAGGCCTTGCGCCTCGATATGCTCGCTTGAGGATTGGGGTTTAGGGTTTGGGGTTTAGGGTTTAGGGTTTGGGGTTTAGGGTTTAGGGTTTAGGGTTTAGGGTTTAGGGTTTAGGGTTTGGGGTTTGGGGTTTGGGGTTTAGGGCTTGGGTGTCAGGGGTAGAGTAGAGTCGAAGGCATCAGGGTCGGTCGCCCAGGCACTTTGGCACAGGCACGGGGGCTCCGGCTATGAAGGCTGGAAGCCTGCATGTGTAGGGTTTAGGGTTTAGGGTTTCGGGTTTAGGGTTTAGGGTTTCGGGTTTAGGGTTTAGGGTTTAGGGTTTAGGGTGTAGGGCTGCCATAAAAGCAAGCCTTAAGAACAGAAGCTAACAATCCCGAATCCTTCAGCTCGAAACCTCACCCTACAACGTCTACGCCTCGAAGACTCGAAGGCTCTAAACCCCAAACTCAAAAACCCACCACCCTAAACCCTAACCCTAAACCCTAAACCCTAAACCCCAAACCCTAAGCCCTAAACCCTAAGCCCTAAACCCTAAACCCTAAACCCGAAACCCGAAACCCGACCCCTGAAAACAAAAGACCCTAAACCATAAACTTTGCCCTACCCGCTCGAAGCCTCTAAGGCTTTAAGTTCCTAAACCCAAAACCCTAAACCTTACATCCTAAACCCTAAACCTTAAAGCCTAAACCCTAAACCCTGAAACCCTGAACAAGCCCCCACCATAAGCCTTACACGCTAAGCCTAACCCTCTCTGAGGGCCTAAGCTCCAAAACTCCTAAAACCCCAACATCCTAAACTCCTAAACCCTAAACTCCTGAACTCCTAAACTCCAAAACTCCAAAACTTTTGAAGCTCTGAAACTCCTAAACTCCTAAACTCCTAAACCCTAAACCCTGAACTCGTAAAACTCCTAAACATCTACTCAGAGGACTCTAAGTAAGGACCCTAAACCCCAAACCCTACACCCTAAACCCTGAACCCTAAACCCCAAACCCTAAACCCTAAACCCTAAACCCTAAACCCTGAACCCTGAACCCTAAACCCCAAACCCTAAGCTCTAAGGCAGAGGCATCTTGGAGTCGATCCGGCCAGCAATCGGGGCGCCCACGGCGAAGCGCTCGTTGCCTGGCGGAGCTCGGCCACCCTGGTTCTTAGTAGGGAATGAAGGATCTAGGGTTTAGGGTTTAGGGTTTCGGGTTTCGGGTTTCGGGTTTAGGGTTTCGGGTTTAGGGTTTAGGGCTTAGGGTTTAGATATGTTGTTTATATACCCTTTAAGGGCTTGCATAGGGCCCGAATTCCCTCATTCACGGACCCTTAGTATGGGCCCTTAAAGGGGACCCTTTTTCTACCTCTTAAATACCCTACAGAACAAAAGGGCCCATACATCGGAACCCTTTAGAGAGGGAAAGGACCATATTAAAACTACCCCTAGCCCCTTCGTCCTTTCGGGGTTTGGGGGCTTAGGGTTTAGGCGTTTCCGGGCTTAGGGGTTATGGCTTGAGGGTTTAGGGGTATAGGGGTTCAGGGTTTAGAGGTATAGGGTTTGGGAGTTTAGGGTTCAGGAGCTCTCGGTTACGATTTAGGAATGGGAGCGTGTGTGTTGTGCAGCAGACACGAGATGAAACGTGAAACTGCGATGAGGGGCCCTTTGCACGGTATTTGCGTGTCCTTCTTCATGTGCTTGTTCGTGATGAGTCCCACGCCCACCACTGTTGCGGCTGTTGCGCAGAGCAAGGAAGTTTCGACGAGAAATGGTCTCAGGGGTGGATTGCTCGCCTTAGCGTGGATTGCCCCTCACCCTGAACCCTAAGGGCAGGACGTGTGTTCACGGCGGCATGCCTCATCTGCATGGTACTGCGTTGAGGGCTGAGCAACTTACATGGGTCTAGGATGTAGGAGCTTGGGGTTAGGAGTTTAGGGTTCAGACATTTAGGGTTTCAAAGTTTAGAAAAGTTTGGCCAAACCTTGAAACCTCAACGTTTGGACCGTCTCGTAAGGTAAGGGTCTTGTTTGGCTGCCCGAAATCTGAAAAATGAAGGGTCATTTTCGCCATATGAATTCTCCGCGAAAAATAGCGGGAATCGAGCACTTCTGCGCCGATCCTGGGGTACTACTCCCCAGTTGCTTGAAACCTTATGGGGGGGGGTCCAAACCTCGAAACGTCAACGCTTGGGGCGTCCAAACCTTGAAACCTCAACCTTTGGGGGAGCCTAAACCTTGCAACCTCAACCAAACTTTACTACATG